TTCCGTTTTCGTGGCTTTGTTTTTTCATTAAAGATTCTATCTCGTACTAAATAATAATTTCGAAGCCTGTCTTCATACGGCCGAAATGCTGTTTTCAAATCCACTGACTCTTGCGTGGTATTTGACTTATCTAATATTTTGGATTGAAGATCGACTATTTTCATTTTTGTCTCATCCTCCAACCTTTGACCTAAGGAGTTGTCTAAGTCTTTGTCTACGTCTGGGTATGAAGCTATGAGTGGGACTGGGACATCCGATTGTTCTGGGATGCCCCCCGCCTTTCGGTTTTCCGAACGATTCTTACAGTTCAGACAATTGGGTTTATAGACTTCCGGCTTGCCACATCCGTAGCAAAATATGCGACGTTTTGCTAAACAATCCTCAAATATATGACCCGCCTTGGTACAGTTCCAGCAAATAATTTTCGAGGGCGCTCTCAAAGCCGAAATATCCTTGTCTAGTTCATCGATCTCTGTCTCTGTCTTTGAGTCTTCATCGACAGCGTAAACTCGGTAGTTGGTCTCTTTGGGTTTTGCTTGAGTACGGATTGTTTTGGCAGCATCCTGCAGAAACCTTTCTCTCTTTTGGACCAACTTTCGTAAGTGTTCCATAGAATAGATATCTTCAAAAAGCAACCTATCTTTCATATCCGTGAGCAAATTTCCCTGAACTAATTCAATTAATTCGTTTTCTTCAAAATGCACTGACAATTTATCCATTAGTTTGCAAATGGATTCGTAAAAGGTATCAAACAATTCGCCAGGTTTTTGTTTACGAGCACGAATTTGTTCGCGTAGCTCGGCCATAGATCGACTTTCTTTATATTGGGCACGCAGCGCGGTTGCAAACTGTTGCCAGTTCAGGTTCTCGGTCTGTTTATGCATTCGCCAAAACCAAGAACTAGCCTTGCCTACTAACAGCTGATGCACATTTCGAACAAGCGAATCAAAATCATTATTAAGATGTTCTCGCGTTAATACTTGTACTCGATATAAAAATTCTTCCACCGACAAACCCTCAGATGTCCCTTCGAAACGCACACCCCACTTCTGAATAATATCTGCGACCTTATTCGTTGCTAGAATGGATGAATTATTAGAAATGAGACTTTGGTTAACCGTGGGTGTTCTTTCTTGTTGTCGATTTTCCTGATTGTTTCTCACTGTTAATGTTTGCATCATTTGCCTTACAGTTTCTCGAACTAAAACTTCAATGTCCGGTTGCGACCAATTATCTTCGTTTAGATTATCGTCACTCCGATTAAATCGTCTAGGCAGTCTGCCTCTTCGTGCACCTCTTCGTATTGCACCTCCTCTCTCCATATTAGTGTTATTACCCCTTGCACCTCTATTACTATCGACAGCTGCCACGTTAGGTATTAACTCTGGTTGCTGCGAAAAAACTTCTGCCTCTGTTGGGGGATTTTCTACAAGTTCTAATTGTCTAGCCACTGAACGAGTATTTGGACGTTTATTCGCAGTAGTTCCTGGTGGATCGTTTCTCAGCTCTGGAGAGAAATTTCCAATAACTACTTTAACATCCTTCAACAGAACTTTTGTAAAACAAGAAGGACATTCATTCTCTTTATCCGGATGAAACTTACTCTCAACACAAGATTTATGGAATACATGCTTACAAGGTGTCATCGCACAAGGCTGTGTATCCACCATTGGCTCTTCGCACAATAAACAAACATCTTGGTTAGCCATTGGAGCGAACGTTTTATCAGGAGTATGATGAATTGGCATAATGTTTTTGTTTAGGTTCTACAAATTTGTGTTTATCTTGTAATAATTTCTTTTTATATTTTATTTATCTCGTTTTGACCTATCTTTGGGGATATGAATGATCTGATCGTAGTTAACCTGGTTCCGACATAATTTATTTTGGTATTTTTATTTGTTTATTTATTTTATTTTTTAATATATGTTCGGGCTATTTCCTCTAATTGGAATGATACTTGATTTTCAGATATTTGCTAATCGCAACTAACGGACATATGTACACTTACGCATACCCTATGTATTCCAGTCAATCCAACTTTGCAAACAACTAACCGATAAACCATTTTCTCAATCCTCTGATGATAGAAAATGAAGCTACTCTACAGCTCAAAAACCGATAGCAATACTTCGGTCGTCAGAGTTCACATTTGCAAACCTACGATATCCAGAAAGTATAAACTATAGTTATAATATGTACTGCAGACCACTCTCAATAATTTATCATTCGAAAACAAACGAGCTATCTATCTAGGGGAGTTCGGTTGCTTTACTTTTATTGGTCGATCTTACTCAGCGCACGCAAATAATTCGATATCCGAAAAAAAATAAAGTACCTCCTAGACATTTGGGCTTAAATAACTGAAATCTCTCGTTATGTAGGATTCAATTATCGCGGCCCCACGTTTGGACGCCAAAATACTTATGTAATGGTTGCCTACACTGAAGAAAAATTGATCACAACTATCTACAGTGTAAGTTAACTAAATCAGGCAGCAGTGTATACAGCGGAACGGGACCCTCTTGTTGTTTCTAGCTCTTCCGGGATGGGGGGTTATTGCTGTTACTGCTTCCGACATTACACGAAGAATTATTTATAGAGTCCCTATCTGAAACTAATAAGCCATCTGATCATGGCTGAAATATGCAGGCTAACTGCCTACCAAAAGAAAATTAGAGAAAATCTACAACTCACAGGACGACAATAATGATGAAAAGGGAATATGTCTAGCACCAGGATCTGTTCGTGGCGTCTTAGCTGTTGTTTGACACACACAGAGTCGCTACCCACCCTACCAATGCCTTTGTACTTTAACTGTTAGCAAAGACCCCATATTGTAGCTGATCAAAACATTTAAATCCCCAGGTCACGAGATGATTGCATCTACTCCCTTATGATATTACTGATTCGATATGACATACTGCCTTATTTATTTAAATAATTTCAATAGAAAAGTAACTTAAAGAAATTCTGGTTAATGACATAATAATTTCGAATGTTCGTTTTAATTAATTTGCTTCTTTTCATTTTTTTAATTTAAAACAATTCAGTTGCGATTCATTTATGCTTTCATTGTGACTACAAATGTTTTTAAACGAGGACTTAATGATTAGTTTCTAATTTATTTGTATTGTATTTACATATTTTCTGATAAAGTTAGCGAAAAGCAGAATAAAACTACGCGTTCCTAATCATAATTCAAATATTTCATCTTCATAATTACGTTGGTGCTGGTAGCAATAGAGATCTGCAATGCATACACTAGCCAAGAATATAGCAAAACAAACGCCTACCGAGAATTAAGATTTGGTAATGATCATTATATACTCAATAAGAGCGCGGCTAGAGGAGCATTTATACGCAATTAGAAGTGTCCAGAATCTGGCAGCCCAAAACAAAACAAACAGAAAAGAATAACGAACAGAGCTTACGGCTCTTCACGGTAGCAGCGGTGGTTTTGGATGATCATATCATGTCACATTAAATGGTGTTTATATACATATATCCATTTTGGATCACTTACCCCATCCGATCCTCGTTGAAGGCCTTCACGATGACGTGGATGACGAGCTGTTAGCGTGTGTTTAAAGGATTGTTAATTTAATGCAACATAAATGATTCGTTTGATCGACCCTGCTTATCGCGTTCTTTATGTCTGGTTGTACGGGTTTTTAGGGCACATGAACCTAGGTCAAGTTTACGCAATCGCGTTTGCTTAGCTAGCGCAGGCACTCTAGATACATGCTACAGTTTTCCGAGGCTCAAACGAGCCAGATGCAACCGAAATCTGATTAAAAACGCGAAACTTTTACAGTTGCATAAAACCTAACTAAATCTGCACTCCGGATCTAATGCCGGTTTGCTTTTATTTCTGAAGGAGTTTACTCCGATCCTACGCCTTCGTCCCGCGCTGGCCGAAAATTGTGGTCCCTGGCCACAGCGCTTGTCGTCTCCCTTCCTCTGCCGCAGCTGGCGAAGCGCGGAAGGAAAAATAAGTAATCCCACGCCGATGACGTAATCGGGGCTCCTGGCCACCGAACAGATTCGCGGGCAGGGTCGCAAAGGTCTTCGCTTCACCTTTGGCAATATTCCGCTGGCCCTTATAGGAAGGTTCGACTAGAAAAACAACCGTGGTTACGGAGAGAGCTTTCAGTCATACAAGAAAACTATTTACCGACTGAGGATGAGGCAGAGTAAACTGCGGTACGCTGAGCGTGGAGCTCCAGAAAGTTCCTTAGCCTGTATGTAGGCTTGCAAGCCGAGAAGGCACGCGGTATTTCGCTGTCTCTATATGAAACCAATATTAATGCAAGTGCAAATGGCTTGAAGTCTCAAAATAATTACCCACAACCGGTGCGCGACACTGGCGGATGGTTAACTGGTCGGATGCAACGGCCGATGCCTTGTATTAACTGGGCAAATGGACACGTGGTACTTGTGTATTAATTTCGCTCACAGATCGACACTTCTGTAGCGTTCGGCGTTGCAGCGAAAAAAGGAAGAAGGCGGATGTTTTGATCGTGTCGGAGATGAGGCTTAATCGATAAATTCGGACTGTCACCTGTCAATTTCGCACAGCTGATTGTGATCGACTAGGGCTGGAGAATACGATATGACTATCGTAAGGCGCGTATGTCAAATCTTTTGAATTTTACAACGTTAACCTTTTTGTCCAATGCTGCCCATTACAATCTGCTGGGTTGTGCTCGGAACGCACGTGAGACCACTGGCTGGCATCAGTATTTTGAGCGATTTTTGTGACTCTATTTGCGACGAAGGTCGTCCACTGACATGGTGGCTTGTTCAACCATGCCAGCACAATAGTGGAATCAGTCCATAGAAAAGATTCTATACGACCGAAAGGAATCTGAGGCAGTATTGCAGTCCACAAGTCTGCCAGAAGGACGGCTCCACACAGTTCTAGACGCGGGAGCGAGACGGTTTTTACCAAAGCGACTTTGGTCTTTGACGTTAGAAGATTTGATGAAATGATTCCATCACGCTGGATACGAACGTAAATTGCTGCGCCATAAGCCTTTTGGAAGCATCGCAGAAACCATGGATTTGGACTTGTACACCTGGTTGAAAATGTACCCAACGCGGGATGCGAACTTGGTGGAGGAAACTGTAGCTCCGAAGGAAATCATGCCAGCGATGTAGTAGTTCTGCAGGAAGAAACTCATCCCATTCGACGCTGGCTAACCAGATATCCTGCATCAGGATTTTGGCCTGAACCACAAATGGGGAGAGCCACCCAGCTGGGTCGAACAATTTCGCGATTTGGGATAAGACGTCGTTTCGAATAGTTTGCCTGAATGGTGACCTCTGTTGGGACAAAATAGAACTCATCCGTCGTAGCGTTCCACCGTACTCCCAATGTCTTAGTGGTGCTGACCTCTTCGAGATCAAGAAAATCAGTCGAAAGTAGATGCTCTTTAGGAAGTGCTTTAAGGAGTGCACGTTCATTCGATATCCACTTGCGGAGAGGGAATCCAGCTGAGGTCAGAGCTGCTTCCAGCTCCTGAATGGCTAAAATAGCTTCAGCTTCTGTATGGGCTCCTGCTAGCACATCGTCGACATACATATAATTTGAAATTATATGCGACGCCCGTGGATATTGGGCGTTGACATCGTCGGACAATTGTTGCAGTGTTCGTAGGGCCAGGAAAGGGGCACAATTCACTCCAAACGTGACCGTCTGAAGCTCGAAGTCAGATATATCCCCTTGGCTATTTCGAAAGAGGATTCTCTGAAACGGATACATCTTGGTGATGTCGGCATTGAAAACGAATTTAAACGTCCGCCACTTCAGGATTTGAAGAGTGAGATCGGACTGCAGTACTGGCCCTGGATACAGAATGTCATTAATGCTGTTCCCATTGGAAGAAGGACTGGATGCGTTGATAACTACGCGAACTTTCGTGGTCGCACTTTCGGACTTGAATACTGCGTGATGGGGTAGATAGAAATTTATCTTGTCGGTATTCGGAGGCACCGGCTTCATATGGCCAAGATCGATATATTCTTGGATCACTGAGTCATAAGTGTCTTTGAGAGCGGGCTCCTTCTTCAAGCGAATCTCATTCCTCAGAAAATGTGCGAGTGCGGAACTCCTCGAATGCCCCAAGTCAATGTGCTCTGAATCCTTGAAGGGCAGGGATACTATATATTTCCCGTCGCAGGATCTGGTAGTTGTTCGGACGAAAAAGTCTTCACACAACTTGTCCGTCTCCTTTACCAGTCTACATGGAAGATCCATTTCCATGGTTGCTTCGGACTCTATGGATATCTGTGTGGTAAAAGACAAAACCCTACTAGTGGTTGAAGACACTGGGCCGGTCAAAATTCACCCGAAAATGGTCTCTTGCGCTAATAAAGACCCGCATACGTTTGGCCTCCAGCCTGATAACAGGACAGACGGAAGAATATCCGCACCTAGAAGAAGGTCTATCTGAGATGGCTGGAAAAACGACGGATCTGCCAATGGCATATTGGGCAGCCTATCAAGAATGCTGCGATCAATTGTGCTTGTCGGAAGATTGCCGGCCAGGTTCGGCAGCACAAACGCCGTAGTGTCGATCTTGAGCATTGGTTTGGCCGAAGTGCCCATCTGGAAATGACACATTTTTTGCGAGACACCGGAATCGGCTTGGTTCAGCCCTGTGACTCTTGTTGTTACGGCTTGAAATGGGTGTTTGATCTGGTTGGCAAGCCTCTCGGAAATGAACGTGCCTTCGGAACCTGAATCTATCAGGGCACGGGCTGGAAAATTCTCTCCTCGATGGCACACATGAACTATGGCCGTACCTAGAAGTACTCCCTGCTGGTTGGAGGCGAAATGAACCGAAGTGTTCGAGATGGGCTGCTCAGGAGGGTGAGCCGGCGCTGTGCTAACAGCATTAGACGGAGTATCTTTGTACAAGAGCGTATTATGCCGTCCCCTGCATGTGAAGCAACTATGCCTGCTCGGGCATTCACGAAGATTATGTCCCCTCGCAAAGCAGTTAAGGCACAATCTTTTTTGTTTAATGTATGCTGCTCTTTGTGGTTGAGTCATCTGGAGAAAGCGAGGACAAAGCCGAACTGGATGAGGCTCTCTGGAGCAGAAATCACAAAATCGTGCGCGTGGCCCGACTTGTGTCTCGAAGGTATTTACCCTCCTTGGCTGTGCACTTCTGGGCTCCCTTGAATGCTGTGTGCTGGAAGAATTGGGTCGGACATCCTTAATTGCTTTCAACGTTCGATATCTCTCCTCGAGAAAGGAATTCATTTCTTCCCAGGCTGGGATTGCGGACTTATTGGTCAGGGACTGCTCCCATAACGAGAGAGTGACCTTCGGCAACTTGGAGGAGATTAGAAAAATTAGAAGGCAGTCCCAATTTTCCGTGGAAATTTGTGAATGCTCGAGGGCTATCAAGCACCCTTGGATTGTGCTCTGCCGATCTTTCAAGGCCGTGCCTGATTCACTGCCTATGGTCGAAAGACTAAACAGGATTTTAAGTAGGCTGTTTACCAACAATCGCTTGTTTTCAAAGCGATCCTGAAGCGCTGACCACGCGGATTGGAACCCATCATTAGTCAGAGGAGACTTGGCCACAATGGCGTGAGCTTCGCCGCTAGTTTTGGCGTTTAAGTGGAACAGCTTTTCCACTGGAGTTAGCCTTGAATTGTTTACGTAAATGGCCGTAAACAGGTCACGAAAAGGTGGGCCAGCGCAGATAATCTCCGTCAAAGATCTCTGTGTCGCATGGCGGAAGACTGCAACCCCTTGAGAATGTGTCTGTCGGCGGAGCTGTTCTTGCCTGTGAAGTGGAGACGGACAGACGGTCGATGTCTTCGTTCAACTTGGAAGCACATCTTTCGTACACCGCATAGCAGTGCTCGTATTTATTTTGAAGTAGCGGAAGATTTCCGCTACCTCCCTCGCGCAGAGCTGCTTTGGAAGCGGTCTCATACTCCTGTCCAACCTTTTCCCATAAGGACTGTACCTGATCCAGACGGAACTTTAAGGTAAACGAACTAGGCTCGGAAGGGGTTACCGTGAAAATCTGGCTTTCGAATTTGCTGAGACGGTCGCTAGTTGCTATGAACTCAAGCAAAATTCCATCTAATGCGCTTTTGGCTTTGGATCTCAAATTACTTGAGGGTCCAGCCCCCGTGTCTCTCGGACTCGGTTCCCACCTTTGGCTTCCATCTCTGGAAGGCGCTAACTGCGCTAGTTACCGACCAGTCGGTAGGCAACAACCCGCCGGCTAAACCTCCCAGAGCTACCCTAGAATTGGTACGCTAACGGGATGGTTACTGCATGGGCAGCGGCCAGACGAAGTCAGCAGTTTCTGTATCGCTAAATTATTTACATACATATGTTGCAATCCAACATCGACCAAAGCCGGGCAACGACCACTTGAGTCGTTGCCCTACATCGATTCCGCTGACGCCGCAACAGGATGCCCCAACCTCTCTCTCAACAGGAAACATGACACGAGCAGCCACTTGGGCTGAATTCACTGGAAACTATATTTGTTTATTTCTTTGACTTAAGCACTATATGTATTAGTAAATAAGACTTATGTACAATTCGGCAACGGAGGCAACTTGGCCACCAGAGAACTGCAAGAGTGGCATTTTTTAGCACTCTACTCACTCACCACCGGGCATCAAAGTAACAGACAAACACCCACAAAAAAACATCTGTGTGTTGCAAGTACTCTGTGAGCTGAGCACCCGATCATTGCGGTACTTTTCGTCAGCGGGTGCCGATCACACTCGCACTCAAAGAGGGCATCAGAAAAATAACTGTGCAAAAAGAGTTGCAAGAAAAAAACACATTTATGACCTGGGTGTCGCGACGACAGACATGAGAAAAACAACTATGCAAAAAGGATTGTAAGAAAAAAACGCATTTATGACCTGGGTGTCGCGCTGACGCCCTTTTATGACCCGGGTGTCTAGACAACACCCGGGTGTTTGTGTCGACACCCGGGTATTTGGGACATGATCGCCTCTTTGTTTTGAACACTTGTTGGCGATCGGATTCATTCTTGTTTGGATAGCTTAGAAAGAGGTCGCAATTATGGCAGAAACGTCAAATATTATTAAAAATAAAATAAATTGTGGAACATACTCAGTTGGTCCACAACATAAAGGAAAAAGTGTCATATGGAACATCTTGTGCGACATTTTAAAAGAAGACGAAACTGTGTTGGACGGATGGTTGTACTGCAGTATATGCCTGAAAGTGCTCAAATTTATTCAAAATCAGACGTCTAATTTATCCCGCCATAAATGTTGTGTCAATTTAAGAAGACCACAAGAGCTAAAACAGGTTTCTGAATGTGACAAAAAGGAAGCAATAGAAAAATGCACCCAATGGGTTGTGCAAGACTGCCGGCCGTTTTCTGCAGTAACCGGAGACGGATTTAAGAACATGGTGCAGTTCTTTATTAAAATCGGCGCAGCCTATGGGGATAGAGTAGACGTGGATGATTTGCTACCTGACCCAACAACTTTAAGTCGGAAAGCGCAATCGGATGCAGAAGATAAACGGACTCTAATTTCTACTGAAATAAAGGAAGCTGTGGACAGTGGAGGAGTAACGGCGACCGTCGACATGTGGACTGACCAATATGTCCAAAGAAATTTTTTGGGTGTCACCTTGCACTATGAGAAAAACTACAAGCTGTGTGATATCATCATGGGACTGAAGTCAATGGATTTCCAAAAATCGACTGGAGAAAACATTTAAAAAAAAATTAAATGTCTGTTTGCCCAATTTAATATTGACAATATTGACAATGTAAAGTTTGTAACAGATAGAGGAGCAAACATCAAAAAAGCCTTAGAAAATAACACCCGTCTAGATTGCAGTAGTCACCTATTTGCAAATGTGCTTGAAAAATCGTTTGAAGAGGCCATTGAGTTAAACAAAATTGTTAAAACTTGCAAAAAAATTGTTAAATATTTTAAAAAGGCAAATTTACAGCACAAATTGGAGACAACATTAAAAAGCGCATGCCCGACTCGATGGAACTCAAACTAAAAAATGCTCAAGTCAATTCTAGATAACTGGGTTAATATTGATGAAGTATTAAGTGAGACTCAAGTAGCTGAAATATATATGGACTTGAACAAATCGACATTAAAAGTTATGGTAGATCTGCTAGAAGATTTTGAAAGAATTTTTAAAGAATTGCAAACATGTAGCTCGCCATCTTTATGTTTTGTGTTACCTTCCATTTCAAAAATTATAGAACTATGCCAGCCAAATATATCAGACATTTTATCAATAGCATTGCTTAAAGAAAAAATCAATAATAACATAAAAGATATTTGGCAAAGGAATCTGAGTATATGGCACAAAGCGGCTTTTTTTCTCTATCCGCCCGCTGCTCATTTGCAAGAAGATTTGTTTGACATTAAGCTTTTTTGCATTACTGAAATGGGAAATTTAGATTCGTGCTCAACCAGAAGCTCAAGTTTTTCAAACCAATCTGCCAATATGTCCAATCCAGAAAGTCCTACCACATTATCATTAGTTAATACCCCACCAACAGTGTCTAAAACCACATTCTTTTTCTCGAAATTAGTTGCTGCGTCTGATGTAAATCATATTGAAACGCCATTAGAAGAAATTGATAAATATTGTAGAGAAAGAGTCCCATTAAGTGAACATTTTGAAGCAATTGAGTGGTGGAAAAATAATGAAATATGTTACCCTCTTTTGTCAAAACTAGCTTTAAAAATTCTCTCAATACCGGCGAGTAGCGCAGCAGCTGAAAGAGTATTTTCCTTAGCAGGTAATATTATCCCACACACCGTCAAAGCACATTCACCGTCCGTTGAACAAACGGTCCATAAGGTTTTGCCGTTCGGAATTTTCCCAAATGGACCGCCGTTAGAACGCATTAAAATCTAACCACGGTTTGTTTGGCGATAGTTAGGCGATAGTTTTTCGGTGCAACTCTGATTCTTCTTCTTAATTTGACCATTCACCACGAAAATGTAAACAAACTTGGCGAGGAACAAATGAGATATGGAATTTAAAACGTGGCGCCAAAGCTACAAGCATGCCCAAAATAGTTCTTGGCGTTTTTTCTGTATATTCTTGCCCCAATATGTCCCCAATTGTTACTATTTAATATAAACCGCCTACCTCTACCTTATTTTAAAGATTTTGGATGCCTGTACCACCTATAGACACTCTTCGGGGAATTTGCTCTTTGTTAGAGAAAAATCATTAGAAAAACTAAAATTCCTTGTCATTTAAATTTATTGCGGATAAATTCTGACGCAATTCGTGCCTTTTGCTGTTGTACAACAGCCAAAATAGTTGGTAAATGCTCCATTTCAAATTTGCACCTGCCAATTCGGCAGCTTTTGTTTACGTTTTCATGAGCCACAGCTGATCGATCAGCTGTTCGGATGTTGAATGTGCTTTAATGTTGTGTGGGAACACGAGTTTCACATTTGTGAAAAATCCCAAACGTTCCTCACAAATGTGCTGTGTGGGAAGACAGTATTAATGTTGTGTGGGAACACGAGTTTCCCTGTTTTTAAAAATCCCAAACGTTCCTCACAAATGCGCTGTGTGGGACAGTATAATACTGTTTTCCCACACAGCGCATT